GTAGGACCGGAGCCGGCTCTAGGCGTGCCCAGCTGTGTTGGCAGGGCCGAAATAAGAGGCTGGCTGCAGGAACGCCACGCGGACTTTTGGAAGGAAACGACAAAAACCAAGTGCCGACAGGCAAGGGCTCTTCTGGGAGAGGTACCCAGAAGGGACCTTGCCAGGAACATCAGGGTCTTGAAGAGAAGGGAAGCCAGACTGGTGGTGCAGATCTACACGGGTCATGGCTTCACCAATTACCATATGCATAGGCTGGGACGCTGTGACACCCCGGTATGCAGGAAGTGCGGGCGAAGAAATTAGTCTCCACGTGCTGTGCAAATGCCCAGCTTACGCTGGGAACAGGCGACTTCTTTTGGGCTCGGAATTTCTTGAGCCCGAACAGGTATGGCAACTCCAAGTCAGAGACCTCCTCCGCTTCTGGGGGACGACAGGTGTTGGCTGACTTGGAGTTAGTTCGGCCGGGAAGACACAATGGACCTCGTGTCGTTGGTGAATCTTCGATAGAAGGCTGCCTCCCGGGAATATTATTATTATTACTATCGCAGCATGTAATAATATTACATCACCGCCTTCTATCACATCTGCACGCAATACCACTGATTGTGAGCACAAAAAAACAACATGCACAAGAACTGAATGGAATGGTAAATATAATTTTTTTGTTAAGTACATATATGTTTTACATTATATATACAGAGTGCCCAAAAAGTTCCGGGAATAATTTCACCTAAATAATTTCTGAACGGTTCGAGATATTGTGTTGAAATTTATAGGGTTACAATGTCAAAATTCTATTATTTATATTATTAATATTATTTAATTATAGTTATAAAATTAAAAACTCATTTGGCATTAAATTTGCGTGATCTTTATTTTAAATAGTTACGCTTCACAATGCCTTCGTACAATGCTTACGTATAGTCTATATAATGACGTAATGATATAAATTTTTGTAACGATGTGTTTGTGCGCGTGTATCCCATAATAAATCAGTACCCAAGCAGCAATTCAGGGCATCTTGACCAAGCCAAAGTAAAATTGCCCTAATTAAGTAAAAAATGACAAAGTTTTGACCTAAAATATGTCCTAAAAGTAAAATTATATTGGAGGTTTTTTTTGTAGGTAAAAAATTATCT